GGGGTAATCCCTCTTTCATCCCTGTTTTGGTAACTTGTATTCTTAAGTTCTAAACTAAAGTTTGTGTCAACTTTGTTGAACTTTTTTTAAAGAATCAACTAGAACAGGGGTGGGCAAACTTTTTGACTCGGGAGCCACCATGGGTTCTTAAACTGGACCGGAGGGCCGGAACAAAAGCATGGATGGAGTGTTTGTGTGAACTAATATAAATTCAAAGTAAACATCATTACATAAAAGGGTACGGTCTTTTTTTTCAATAGTTTTATTCATTTCAAACGGGCCGGATCCGGCCCGTGGGCCATAGTTTGCCCACGGCTGGGCTAGGCTGTCAAATTTTCACTTTTTAAGTAAAATGTATTGATTTATTTAAGAGAGAGAAGCATTGATTTGTTGTTCCACTTTATGCTTTCATTGGTTGCTTCTTGTATGTAGTTTAACATCATTTTGGGGGGGGGGGGGGAAGGATCCCGGTTTTGATTCCAGTCAAGTGCACATGCCCAGGTTTCAGGCTAGATCCCCAGTAGGGGGTGTGCAGGAGGCAGCCGATCAATGATTCTCTCTCATCATTGATATCTCTATCTCTCTCTCCCTCTCCCTTCCTTTCTGTAAAAAATCAATAAAAATATATTTTAAAAAATAAACTTACTATAAGTGTACTAAAGTTCAAAGTGGACTTCAAAGGCAGGTCTCACCAGATTAGGGTTTGCAGTGAGATTCCAGGGGGTCCCAATCCCATTGAGAAAAGGGACCCCTTTGGTCCCGGAGGTGGAGAGAATGGTGGACTCTATCTCTTTGAGTTAAAAGGGCTCAGATTAACCTGTGAGTAAATACCTTGGGAGGACACATTTTTACATAAGAAACTTCCTAGTGCTTCGTTTCTAGTCTTTTCTTCAATTAGTGTCTCCAGGAGTAGAACAAGAACTCAAATAAGACTTGTAATGTTATTACGTGTTGATCTAGTAGAACTGCACATTTAGCTTCGATCTGACATGGTCATCTGTATTCCTTCCTAAATCATTCGTCCTTTTGGCTTTGAGTTACTACCCTGGGCCCGTTTTCTTTTTTGCAAAGGTTTGACCTTTTCATTGTAAGTCCTAGATGATACAGTTGACCCTTGTACAAGGGGTTAGGGGCACAGTCACAAATCGGTGTAACTACACTGGTTTGAATTGGACAGGTCGATTGAAAACCCTGTATGTAAGTGGACCCGTGCAGCTCAAACCCGTTAGTTCAGGGGTCACTGTATATACCCTGACTACTAACAGTTGTTAGTTTCTTGATCAGAACAGATCAGCAATAGTTCATCTGGCTCTGGCTGAGGGATTCTTTGTTTCCACAATTAAACACACAGCAGGAGGCGGAAGCCGCAGCCAGCTGTTGCCTCAGAGATTCACAGTAAGGCAGCGGTTCTCAACCTGGGGGTCGCCTAAGACCATCCTGCATATCAGATAGTTACGTTACGATTCATAACAGTAGCAACATTACAGTTATGAAGTAGCAACGAATATAACTTTATGGTTGGGTCACAACATGAACTGTACTTAAAGGGCCAGAAGGTCGAGAACCACTGCTAATGGGATGAATGCTCAGGACTTACGTCTCTGGAGAGCTCAGCTGTTGCACTCTGAGAAAGACAGATTCTTATCTTTAAGGTTTAAATGTCAATCACAGTGTTGGTCCTGGCCCACCTGCTGAAGATGATGTAACTACCACCACCCCCCCTTCTGCCCCATGTTACACCTGAAGTCACTGCCCCTGGAACTCGTGGCTGTGTCGTCAGCTCTCTCTCTTGTGACCCAACTCAGGGAGGGGCAGCTTCACTGCGGAGACTGTCTTAGCGTAAATATTCTAGGTGCCTCTCCTCCTGCCTGGGCTGCTTGTGCTCAGTCTTTTGGAAGCTGACTTCTCCGGTGTTTATTCCTGGGCAAGGAAGGTACAGTCACACTGCATTTTGCTTAAAGTAACAGTCTCAGAATTCCTTCAGGTTTCTGTGATAGACAGTGGACATTACAGTGAGTCGTTCCCACACACCCACTATGATGTATGAAGCATGGACGCGTGTGCGCCTACTATCTTGCTTATCTGGGTGTGTTCTTTGGCTGTTGGCACTGAAAGAATAGGTTCACATCACTCCACTGTCGGTTTTATCCTTTCGTCACATGACCTGATCGCAACCAAAATTCGGCTCTGAGGTCTTCTGAGCTGATCATTGATGGGCTTCCTACCATTCCTTTCAGCGGGGCCGCGTTGTTGTCCGGAGCTGGGCTGCGCGTGGTGTGTGAATTCTGAGGCTCTGCTGCTGTTAGTGCTGTTGAGGTCAAGGGCTCATCCAAGTGTAGTTAAAACTCTGTTTCTTCAGGAAGGTCAGGAAATGACATTTTGAAAATACGTAGATTAAAGACATGATGTAACTGAGTGATCAGGAAGTATTGAGTGGCCACACTGCCCAGACCGGGTCGGTGTCTGCGGGTCCGTGAGGCAGCCGACCCCGGCTCTCACCTTGAAGGCTGCACCTAAGCCGCCCAGGTGGAAAGGGGAGGTGGCTGCAGACATGGCCAGGACTCCTCTGGGTTCCTGCGTAGCTCATTGCCTTTTACAGGACCCAGTAGCCATGGCATGGCCAGACGTTTAGAATTCAGAACAAAAAGCAGTGGCTATAGACCAGCCGTGGGCAAACTACGGCCCGTTTGAAATGAATAAAACTAAAAAACAAAAGACCGTACCCTTTTATGTAATGATGTTTACTTTGAATTTATATTAGTTCACACAAACACTCCATCCATGCTTTTGTTCCGGCCTCCGGTCCAGTTTAAGAACCCATTGTGGCCCTCGAGTCAAAAAGTTTGCCCACCCCTGGTATAGACTGACAGGGCCCCTTGGGTACGAAATGGAAGATCCTTAGGAGTTCCAGCGAGGAGCTCGTCCTGAACAGTGTCACTCTCTGGCTTTTAGAAAAGATCTGTAGCCCAACTAGTTGGCTCAGTGGCTAGAGCATCAGCTCGCAGACTGAAGGGTCCTGGGTTCAATTCCATCTGAAGGGCATGTACCACAATTGTAGGCTCAATCCCCAGCCCTGGTTGGGGCGTGGGCAGGAGGCATCAATTGATGTGTCTCTCTCACATTGATGTCTCTCTCCCTCTCCCTCTCCCTCCCTCTCCCTCTCTCTCTCTCCTCTTCCATTCTCTCTAAAAACCAATGGAAAAATATCCTCGGATAATGGTTAACCAAAAAACCCCACCAAATTTTGTAGCTAAAAGCTACATTCAAACAGTCATTAAAGTTTAAACCAAATGTTTTGTGTGTTTTCATTTCGTGATAGTGGTCTGTTGGTTATGGCCACAGTTCAAAGAGATGAACACTAGTCAACTATAGTTCAGGAGTCCGAGGCCTCAACAAGGAAATACTGCAGCGACATGCGTGGGTCCGATGCCTCTGGTCTTGCGTGGAAGGGAAATGGGGTCCCCTCCCTTCATGAAGCAAGCTGCCCCGAGTCCTTGGTTTTCCCAGACGTGCCTGGGCTTTCGGACAGGCAGGCATCATTCGCCGCACAGCCTTTGCCTCGGATTGCGCACTGGAACGTGCCGCTGTTGGCCAGGCGCACCTTCTTCTTCCAGGAGAGGCTTGCGCTCTGCCTTACAGGTCCTCGGATCCTCTTTTCAACCGTCCAGGGAGCGGAACGCCAGTGTCTCAAGACACTGGAAGTTGTGAGGAGGAGGGGTTTCACCCCCCGGGTCCCCTGGGGACATTTCCTAGACCCCACCTTACAGGCCAGTGCCCTCCTGGCCCCTTAGCCCGGTGTGCTGCTCCTTCCTCCCGGACCCAGTGGACCGCCATGCTGCGCCGGGTTCTCTAGAAAGCCTGCCCCAGGCATCCAGACACATCTTCGCCTCTGTGCCCCGCCTCCCCCGTCCTGACGTTCAAGGTGGCCTGTTTTATAACTAGCTTATAACTTCCCCAAATAACAAGATATGGGGGCTATAACGTACATGCTCTCTTACTACTGGCTTCCTTAGCATAATATTAAAATGTGCACGTCTTGCTCAGTTGATGTGGCTCCGTGGTTGAGCGATTGACCTATGAACAGGGAGATGACAGTTCGGGTTGCCAGCTCTATCCCAGGTAGGGGGCGTGCAGGAGGCAGCCTATCAGTGATTCTCTCTCATCATTGATATTTCTCTCTCCTTTCCTCTATGAAATCAATAAAAAGAAAGAGTGAATTTTCCATGTCAACACACTTACTTCTGCAGCATCCTTTCAATGACTACATAGTAGTCCATTGCGTGAATCAGTCACACATTTCCTTCTTGTTAGGCATTTAGGTCATTTTTATTTTTTTACTCCTATAAAAACACGGGTTCACATAGACCCTATCATTTCCTCAGAAAAATTCACCGAAGTAGAGGAGCTAGCTCAGAGCCCTTCTGGGGCTCTTTGGTGGCCACAAGCACTGCGTTAAAAGGAGTGCAGCCTCCTGCCACCGACTTCTAAATGGCCTTTGCAGTTCGGGCTCGCTGGCTGCCGGGCACTTGGAGATTTCAAATGGCATTTTGCGTTAGTTTTGTTCTGTTTTGTTTTGCTGGGTTTATACGAGAATTCCAAGCCTGGAGATTTTCTGCAGGTAACAGGCGTATCAGGAGGTGCACTTCCCAGGCGTGGCCTCCTACCCGCAGCTTGAGGGAACATGCATCATGTTAGGGAGCCCATCGCTGTTTTGCTTAAATTGGATGCTGAAGAGTTATTTACTGTATACAGGGTGGTTTGGCTTAAGATGCAATTTAAACTAATTTCTTAGGGTCATTAATGAAAACAAAGATAGAAAAATTAAAGAGATCCAGGAGATCACTGGGAGCATAAGAGTCTGAACTGAAAAGACAAAGCAGAGCCCAAGACGAAGAATTAAAATCCAGCCTGTGCCTGCTGTAGACAGTGTGCGCGTCTCAAAGTGTGGCGCTCGGAACGAAACGGCAGCCATCATTTGACTTTTTCTTTCTTCTTTCTAGGTGTCCCATTCAGTTGCTAAACTTATATTAGTTAATTTCCACTGGCAAGTTGCAGAGATATTGGACAGGTAAGCTGTTCGGGGAGGAGAGGTGGCATCACCCAGAGCTGCTCTCTCTGCCCGCCCCCCCAGTGGTGATATTTGCATTCTGGAGTCTATCCTTACAGTGTGCATATTATATTTTTAAAACACTGGATCATATTGTATGTATTTTTTCTCTCAATATATGTTGAACATTTTCCCATATATCTTTCAGCATGTTTTTTCTACTGGTTATTTGCTGGCACAGTATCTGATCATATAGGTGTTTCATACTTTGTTCAAACCCCTGTTGTTGGACGATGAAGTTCAGATTTTTTGTGCCCTTGTTAATCAATTTGTAGTGAGTGCCCTTCCAAATAACACTTGCCAACATCTCTGGTTATTTCTTTTGGATACATCATGTTAGGAATGCACCATCGCATATCACATCTTAGCTTGAGCAAAGGTAATTGGTCAGTTTACCACCCACCTCCAGATTTGGAGTCTCAAGACACTGGAAGTTGTGAGGAGGAGGGGTTTCTCCCCCCTCGTCCCCTGGAGACATTTCCTAGGACCCCCCACCCCCGCCTTAGAGGCCAGTGCTTCTGTCTAGCTCAGGGTCTCTGTCCTCAGCACTGTTGACATTTGGGCTACATAACTCTTCGTTGTGGGGAGACTGTTCTGTGAATTGTAGGAGGTTTGGCAGATGCCCCCAGCCAGAGTCCTAGAGATAAGGTGCCTTCAGGCCCTGCCCTTCCACACCTGGGCAGTTCTCCCGCGGTGCGACCCCCTGCAAACGCAGAGCAAGGCCATGCCTTTCCTTCCTCAGGCTGGGCAGCTGGGTGGCCACGCCAGCCGACCGCCCCTTCACTCACTGCACTCTCGCTCCTCACGCCAGAGCCGGTCCGCGAGAGGCCGGGTGAGCTGCCAGGTCTGCAGCCTGTCACTGCCCGGACTCCGGGACCACACAGGTTCCGTGGGGCTCTCACTGTCCAACTCTTGAGCGTAATTTGGGATGGAGAGGTGGGTGGCTGGAGGGAAAGCGGAAGTGGGTGAGGATGACACGTCTGAGACATCAGCTTCCCGCTCGGGTTCCTGTGTCGTGGTCACGTGTCTTCCTGGGCTTTGGGCAGCACTTCTGCTGCTACATGGTGATCGCTCTTATTTCTAACAGTGTTTATGCCAAACCTCGCTCCAGGGGGACTAGATTTTTATGCTGAAATAGTGCTTTTCCGGAAATGTGTGTGTGAATGTGTGCGCACGCACATGCGTATGTGCTGTGTGTAGGCGTTAGAGGAGAACAAAGCAAGTACTCATCTGAGTGCCCAGCGAAATGAGGAGCCTCCGGCCTTCACTAGGAGGGAGGGCCTCGGCGGCCATGCCCGCCCGGCCACGCCCCTTCCTTCCGCCCCAGGCACTCGCATCTTCAGTTTGGTATTGATCCTTTTCTTATTTTTTCTTAAATTATGTGTATTTTAGTTTAGTATGCTTTTAGAACTCTACAGACATATAATCATGCTGTAAGTGTTTTTAAGTTTTAAAATTACAAACAAGGTTGCATTTTATGACATCCTATGAATCCTTTCAGAAAACCATTGGTGAGGGTTTTTGTGTTTGGTTGGGGTCTTTTGCTGTTACAAGTAATGCAGCTTTGAAAACTTGTCCGTGACTCCCAGTGTAACCTGATTTTTGTAGGGTTCAGAACAGGAGTGAGTTACTGGTCTATTGGGTGTGTGTTTCTAAAACTTTGCTAATCACAGCCACTATGTTTCCCAAAGTGACCATACCGTGTTACATGCCCACAGTGATACAGGCGTGTTCCTGATACAGCCACATTTAAAGTTTTACCATCTGGTGGGTGTACATGGCATCTAATTGTTTTTAATTTCAATTTTCCTGATTATTAAGGGGGTTGAGCATCTTATGTTTAATGGTCATTTGTGCTTCCTCTTCTGTGAAATGCCCGTTCTCTCTGTTGCCCATTTTTATTGTCATTTTGTCTTTTGTATCTTGTATCTGGAAAGAGGTTTGGCATAAATACATTAGAAATAAGAACAATTATGTGGCAACAAAAGTGCTACACAGAGCCCAGGCTCACTGAGGCACGTTCCCAAGACACCAAAGACAGATGGGCTTCCAGGAGCTTCTGGTTTTTATTCTGAATTTCGGTCCTTTGCCAGGATGGGCATTGGATGATCTTCCAGTTTGTATCTCGGCTTTTTACTTGATGGTTCCTCCCGATGAACCAAAGTTCTTAAATGGCACAGAGTTTTTCAGTTTTCCTTTCGCTGTGCATTTCCTTTGTCTCACGATCTCCTTCCCTATTCTGATGTCAAAGAGATTTTTACCTTTATTTCAAGAACGGAGTGTAAACCAGAAACGATCCTTCATGAGTATTTTTCTTACAGTTCAGTGCCTTGGAGGCAGGGTTATTCTCACACAATTGAGAGCTAAACAAAATTGAAAAGTATTTGCACGAAGGCACAAGGAAGCTTGGTTCTGTGAGGTGGTAATTAGAGACAGACATCTTAGTGCAGCTGCAGCACGTGTTGGTTCTTATTCAGAGGTGAACACGGTTGCCTTCAGTTTCTGACTCCCTTCACTCTGCCTCCTGTTTTGTAGATACAAGTCTAACTCTGCTCAGCTGCTGGTTGAGGCTCGAGTTCAGCCCAGTCCATCGAAACATGTGAGTGTGTCCACCTAGAGGAAGACCTCCCGTGCCCGGGGCTCTCGCTGTGGCTCATGGTGCTGCCGAGGCCGCCTGCTCGGCTCACAGTGTGACAGGCCTCCGCCCGCCGCCCGCCTCAGCTCGCACCCCGTCCATTCCAGTGTGAAGTTTCCTCGTAGATGAGGAGTAACGCACTGCCACCCCAGGGGCCTCCAGCCATGCTCACTGCGCTCACACAGCCTGCGCTCCATCCGCTGGGGCTGGGGTCCCCGCTCCCCGCCCGCCTCTGCTCTGCTCTGCCCTCCCTGGCCTGGCTGCTCAGACCCTGTGCCCATCGTTGTTTGTGGGAACGAAACTCACTTTTAAAGACCCAAATCCCAGCTGTCTTTCACAAAGCCTGTCTCCTGTGATCACTCCCTGCAAAATCCTCTGGTTATATCTTTAAACCTTCACGTGTATGTGGTAGTGATTCAGTCATCTTTTCCCCTGGCTCACTGTAAGTGCTCTGAGGATAGAAACCATATCCTACACCCTACAGTACCTAGCCATTTCCTGTGTGTACAAGGTCAGCAAACGTGCCAAATGAACGAGGGCCGTGTTGAAAGAGCCCTTAGGAGAGAGATTTGGAGCTCAGATCACCACAGAACGTCTGCAGCCTCTTAGAAAACGCCCAGGCACAGACTGGATCAGCATGGGAACACAGTCCTTTTTCTCAAATTGTGTTTTGTATTTCCAGGGAACTAACAGGAACCTAAGATCAGCTCGTAGTGGGCTTGTCCATGGGTTGTAGTTTTGGCCACGGGTCCCCAGATTGTCTGTGTCTGCCAGTTTGTGTCGCATGGCATCGATCCTGGAACCCGGCTTTAGAGTTGTTTGCCCACCTCCTAGGAGTTTTCTTGCCGAGTAGGAGTCCTCGTCATCCTTGTACATTAATTGCATGTGACATCTCTTCCCTGTGTGAAGGCTGTGCCGTAACTTGGAAGAAGAAATAACGTTTTGTATTTTGGGCATGCCAACCGAGGAAACAAGCCCACTCTCTGATAAGCAGAGCTGCAGTGCGGCCATGAGAAGCTGTACGCAACCTCAGAGCCTTGTGACTGGGCTTGTAGCACTAGCTGAGGGCAGCGCTGGGCTCTGCTGAACGGGGCACTTCACAAAAGAAACCCCGTAGCCATTAAAAGAGGTGGATTGAATGACCTCAGGCCTTGACAGCTCTGAAACCCTGGCTTTTCAGCCTGGCATCATCAGACTGCTGCCAGCTGTCATTCTACCCGTCTCTGCCTCACTGAGTCCTCGTGTGCTCCAAGCCCAGCTCCTTGCTGCCTCCCTCAGGGAGCCTTCCTGAGGGGTGCTTTCTGCTCCCAGCTCTTGGACTCCCAGAGCCCACACATTGCAGCTGAGCTCTGACCCTGGCTGCAGGGTCAGGATCGCCTCCCCCGCACCTAGTGACACAGCGCCCCTGTGGCCCCGCGCTCTGAAGTTTCCTCTTGGACTCACATGCCTTTGCTTCTCTCCAGGTCCCCGCAGCCCATCCCCCTCACCACTGCGCAGTGTGCATGCAGTTTGTGCGGAAGGAACACCTACTCTCTCTGGCCTGTCAGCACCAGTTTTGCCGCAGCTGCTGGGAGCAGCACTGCTCAGTGCTTGTCAGAGACGGCGTGGGTGTGGGTGAGTCTGCTCTAGAGCTTCCAAAAGACTAGCCTCAACTGTTTATCTCTGACTCACCCTTTCAGGTACTCGGGCCAACTGTGTATCTTTTTTTAAAACAATGTTTTTATTGATTTCAGAGAGAGGAAGGGAGAGGAAGAGATAGAAACGTCACTGATGAGAGAGAATCATCCATCAGCTGCCTCCTGCATGCCCCCTACTGGGGATTGAGCCTGCAACCCAGGCATGTGCCTTGACTGGGAATTGAACTGTGACCTCCTGGTTCATGGCTCAACCACTGAGCCATGCCGGTCAAGCGACTATGTATCTATCTTCTTTTAAGCCTGACTGACAGTTACTGTCAGAACCATTGCTTTCCAAACACATCAGTCTGAACAGTGGCCAAGTGTTCCAGTCCTGAGCAGCATGGGACAAGTAAGGCTGTTTGGTCATGTTAAACGTTGGTGTGAGTGCAAGGCCACCTCTTGGGAGCGCTTCTGGAAGCACTGTCTTGATTCCCCAAGTGGCAGCGACAGCTCAGACATCCAGAGGGTTCACTGCTATTTAGGTAACAGCACAGAGTGCACGGATGGTTGGTGACAGGAGTATTTGTTATACTGTAACCTGATGATATTGAAGCACAATTGGCATCCCATTAATTGTGTCTGCAAAACCTCGTGTTGGTGATAAGCACTTGTACATAATATTAAATATCACAAAACTCAGTTGTTAGGAACCATATAGGGTTTTTTAAACAAAAATTTTAATAGTGCCATTTGTGATGTATATGTAATTTGGAATAATATTTTAGTTACATCACTGTGCAAATATATCAGTTTCTTTCTTTGAGTATGTTCTGTTGCTTCAAGGGTTTCCTATGTGGAACTGAATTTGTGGTTGAACTCAATGGGCAAATATATTATTATTAGGGGCCCAGTGCACAGATTCATGCACCTTGAAAGGAACTGTGGGCCGAGAGGCTGCAGTGGGCACAGGGGCAGGTCTCGGCCCACCCGCCGTGGCCCCTGGTTCCCCTGTCTGCCGGCATCCCCGCTCTCGCCACCGCTCCCATGCACTGACAGCACCAACCCCGCTCACACCCACTGATGGCATGGAGCAGTTGGGGACAGCACTGTCAGCAGGTGCTTGCAACAGCTGCTGCCCCCATCGCCTCTCAGGAGGGTGGGGGCGGTGGAGAAGCCCTCAGGGGCAATCAGGGCCAGCAGCCACTACTCGCACCCGCTGACAGCACTGAACGATCACGACCAGCGCTGGCTGGGGGTATGAGCGGGACCAGCACCAGCAGTGGGTGCGAGAGGCGGCTGCCAGCCCCGATCGCCCCTCAGGAGCAGAGGACAGTAGGAAACCCTGAGGGGTGGTTGTGGCTGGTGGCCGCAGCTCGCACCCACTGACAGCGCTGAGCTATCAGGGCCAGCGCCAGGCGGGACTGTGGCACGCAGGAGCAAACAATTTTCAGTAACCACCAGAGGCTCGCCCCAATGACAGCGACTGGTGCCCCACCTTGGTCTGGCGCCCTGCTCACCTGCTCCACCACCCGCCACGGCCGACACCCACCATGTTCCACATGTACCCCCTGGTGGTCAGCGCACGTCATAGCGACTGGTTGTTTAGTTGTTCCTCTGTTCAATCTATTTGCATATCAAGGTTTTATATATATAGACAAGTGGTGATTCCTACAATAGTTGTCCATCAGCTGGGCTTTGTTCAACAGGAGTCTCTTGCATGGCTCAGGACTGCCCACTTCGAACACCAGAGGACTTTGTATTTCCATTATTACCCAACGAAGAACTAAGAGACAAATACAGGCGCTACCTCTTCAGGGACTATGTGGAGGTATGACCTGCCCCTGTGGATGCGCCCTCTGCTTTCCTGGGCCTACTTCCCACCAGGTGCTCACTAGGGTTGCTTTCTAGACAAGGCTGCCATTAGGTGCTGGCATTTGAAGAAAGAGTTCCATGGCTTTAAAAATGTTAGGAAACCACTAGAATGGTAGACCCTGGAGTCAGGCAGCTGTGTGAATCCCAGGCCTGTTACTTCCTCGCTGTGTAACCTTCTCCCCATCGTTGTGCCTCTCTCAGCGTGGTTTCTCGTACACAGCGGTCACCTTATACACTTTGCTTCAACAAGTCATTGCATGCCCAGGTGTCAGCACTAGTCAGGCATATCTCAGGAGTTGCTATTCCTTTTGGGGCTCTGGGTGATCCAGCCCAGAGAAGGGGAATTGCTTCTTGTGCAGTTGGAAAACTTGTCCATGACTCCAGCATGGCCAGTCTTAGAGTCCTTGCCCTCTATTGGGCTACCAGTTCATGCTCGCTGGTTTCATGTGACATGGTTTCATTTTTTTATGCCTAAGCTTATTGGTTGATTGACCGTCTGGTCTTCTCATGCACAAGCTGCGGGATACACAGAAGCCTGGCTCCGTGTGCTGTGTGCTGCCTTCAGTCAATGCCTGGGGGCTGCTGAGCTTCTCAGAGCCAGGCACAGTGGATCAGGCTGTGTTCCTTCCAGCCCCGGTCCCTTCGCATTTGCATCTCAAGGATACAATTGTGTGTTCCATTTTGTAATCTAATTTTAGACTATTCTAGTGAGTTGCTACCTAGTTTAACTAAACATTCAGAGGTCTTCAGTATCTGCCTAATGTCTGGCCTTCACGACATTCACCGTGAATTCCTATACCCCTGCATGTAAGTCATCAGCTGGAAGGACAGGAGGTGTTAGAGTGCTGG